CCCGCAGCGCCCCCCGCCGTCCCGGAGGAGGCAGCGCCCCCCGACGGCCAGGCGGAGCCAAGAGCCCACGCTTAGCCCCCGGGGAGTGAAAAGCTGCCCGGGTCCCAGCCTGGCTTCCAACAGCTTTGCAAAAACTTAACGCGCCTGTGTGGTTTGATCTATGTCTTCCCCCTGTGAGCTTTCTGAAGGCAGGACTCTGTGGTTTTGCAATAGCCCCTATTTCGTGTTTTGCTTGTCACACTTCCTAGGTGCTTTTCGTGTTGGGGGGGGGGGTGAGTGTGTGGAATGGGGGGGAGGGTGGTAAACAGATGAACGAATGGAATATTTCAGGTTAGGTCCCTGGGAAGCTGTTCTGATAGTCCAAAACTGACCGTCTGCCCTCCTGAGTGGCCAGATGGAGTCACAGGACTCGCTATACCTTGGCCACCTCGGTCACTTCCTAATCGGGTCGGTCTCCCTGACTACAACTCCATCACGGGCCTTCCCGCTTCTCCTGAACCCTGTCTTCAGATAAATGTCCCTGCTCAAGACTATAGCCATAAAACCAAAACCATCTCCCTGCCTACATCCTGCCCGGAGGGAGTGGACATCCAGGCCCAGCTCCAGAACAGGCACACGGCAGGATCTGGTCATCCTTGATGGGTACGTGGGAAGGAGAGGACAACAGCCGGTGTCGTTAACCGATCTAAGCTAGTTTGGTCACTTATCAGTAATTCTTTCGTCTGGTCAATGGTGTGTTTCCATCCCCACTACCACGCGGCAGCTGCCACGGAAAGCCAAGCGGTGTGCCAAAGGCTCCAAATATGTAGGTTTTATTAGCCAGGTCTGTCCTCTGGCAAAGACCAGGCCGTTGCCCTTCTGAACTGTCAGCAGCTGCGATTACTAGCTCAGATCACAAGACTAAGCCCCTTGACCTGGGGGGGGGGGGGGGGGTAAGCCCCCTCCCTGATTTCTGGGAAAGGTCTTATCTTCCTCCTCTTCTATAATTAGCTACAAAGTAATGAATGGGTTTCCTTACGACATTTTCATGTCTATTTAGTTTTGTTTGTTTTTTCCTGTTTTTGGTTTTGGTTTTTCGAGACAGGGTTTCTCTGTGTAGCTTTGCGCCTTTCCTGGGTCTCGCTCTGTAGAGTTTGACCCGCCGCCGCCGCCGCCGCCGCCACCGCTTCTCTTCCTCCTTCTCCCTGTTCCTCGCTCCTGCTGAAGCCCTCCATTCCTAGGATTCTTCCACTTTCAAATTACGCATGCTCTGTTATCCCCCCCTCACCCATCTCCCTTACGGCCTCCTTTTTTGTCCTGTCCTGTGTGAGACCCTTTCTAGTTCCCTTGCCTCTCAACACACTCCCACCCAAATACAAATACATAAAAATTAGAAATTAGAAGGACCTTCATATAAGAAAGAATGTGTGATGTTTGTATTTCTGAGCCTGGGTCACCTTGCTTAATAATTATAATATATAATTTTCATTATCTGCCCGTTGATGGACATCTAGGTTGGTTCTGTTCCCTTGGCGTTATGAAAACAGCAGCAATAAACATACACGTGCAAATATCTCTGTAGTAGGATATCAGATCCTTTGGCCCAGAAGTGATATGCCTGGGTTGTTTGGTAATTCTATTTCTATTTGTAGTTTTTTAGGAAACACGAGAGTGCAAGGACATCACCACAATGACAGACTAGATTACGTATTACAATCCCGAAAAGTAGCACACACGGACAGGAGTTGGAATGGAAACAGCGGTGGCGTCAGGTGCACAGTCCCTGTCCTGGGCAACAAGCGATGCAACTGAGCCTCGGTTATCCACCCAGAAACCAGCCCACGTCCGGGAGGAACTGCGGTTAGGGTCTGGCAGTGGGAGATGATGGGGGCCGAAGACTGTCGCAGATATCACACCATACCACACACTACCAAGAGAGTGACAGACACAGAGCCGACCCTACCCTGACGGCAGGGACTTTTTAAAGGGTATGCACGTCGCATTTGGTGCCCGGTGATGACGTGGCCGCTGAGTATTCTTACCACGTATGAACAAAAGGCAAATAGATAGTAGACTCCGAACTGGTGGAGCTGGGGCTAGGGGTTGCTGGCTTGCAATTTAAATGGTTGGGGAAAGAGAGTGTGAATTACATCATGAACTGAGGCTGTAGCTCAGTCGGGCGAATGCTTGCCTAGAATGTATGAGACCCTGGTTTTGATCCCTAGTGCCACAGAAACCTGGGGTGTAGTGGTGTACATTCGTAATCCCAGAATTCAGCAGGTGAAGACAGAAGGTGTCGGGTCCAGAGGACATTCCATTTCCCAAAATTCCAAAAGGCAGTCCAAATATCTAGAAATGGGCTCGACCTGGTTATTGGAGGATGTCTGGCCAGCATTGGGGGATGTATAAGCCAGCATTCCTCAGGAACTTGTAAAGCTGGTTCCCCTCTACTGAAAGAGTCATTTCCCTCATCTCTGGCAGAAGGGACACATGACTACCCTGTGGTGCCAATCAGCATACCAAAACACAGGCTGGCCTGCAAGCTCCCCTAGTATCACAAGGTTCCTGCTACACAGTTCAGTCCATGCTAGCCCTTCTCACCTCCTCCCTTACCCTAACCCCCACCCTACTGGCGGACTTCCCTTCTTCCCGCTACTCACCTCCCTTATAACCCCGCTGTGTCTCCTCTTCTCCCTGCTCCGGCTTCTCTCATGATCACGTCCAGTCGGCTGGCCATATTCAGTCTCTACTTTGGACTCGTTCAGATTCCTCTATGTCTATTTCTCTCTCATATCTACAATAAAAACCTTCCCTTTTAACCATACCATGGAACGGTCATGTTGTCAGCTTATACAAAATTATCAGAAGGTCAAGGTCATCCTCAGCTACAGCTACATAGCAAATTTGAAGCTAGCCTGGGTAGCTTCAAAAAAAAAAAAAATCTGTACTGACACCCCCTCCTGGGTTCCTAAAACTTGAAACCAGTGGAAGAATTGGACAGTGAGGAGGGGGTGAAGCAGAAGTGATAGAGGTATCTCTCAGGCCCAACCTTTAATTCAGAGGAAGGCAAACCTGTGGCACAGCATCCACGCAGGGCCTGAACCTATGATACTCAGAGCGAATTCTCTTTGAACTGCTTGCACTGGGACTTCTGGGCCAGGGGAGTTCAGCATCTAGTTTGACTTTACAACAGCATGAACCGTCCCTCTGATGTAGCCAGGCCTGATGGAATCCTTGGCAGGCTCCGGCTCAGCTCATACTGCTTGGTGTGGCAGGGCATGCCAGCTGGGTTCTGTGCAGAGAAAATCCTGCCTCTTTCTGTTTTCTGGGGCTTTCTCTCGTTTCCCCTTTCAGTGCCTTTTTACTTTAACTTCCTTACACCCAAACCCCTGGTCTCATAGACACGGATTCTGACTCACCATCCTCATCACCCCATTTTCTCAAATTGCCTCCCAAACGTCGATGTGTATGCCCATATTTTATTGCCGATGTCATCCTTGGTCAGCGAAGCTGCTTTTTGCAGTGGTCAGTGGTTCACTGCAAACTCCTAACTGATCACTGCTGAGTGGTTTATTGGATGCTCAGTCCTGAGTGAGATGTCCACAGTAACCCCTCCAGGGCTCAAGGAATTGTGAAACCAAAACAGGAACACTACGCCTCACAAGTTAATGGGAAACCGAAACAGGAAAATTGTACCTTGCAGGTTAAGAGTTCTGTTTGCAGTGAAGACAGATAAGAAATGAGATCCTGTTTGCCCTGTGTTAAGTCCTTGCGAGTTAAGGTTTCCAGCTGTAATTAAGAAGTTCCTGTTTGTCCTGTGTTAAATCCTAGTTAAAGAATAAGTTCCTGTTTGTCCTGTGTTAAATCCTTGCAAAATAAGGTTTCTATTTGTAATTAGAAAGAAGTTCCTGTTTTAAGGTCCGATGCAAACTGCTTGCAGATCCATTTCTGCCCTTCTCACTGGGTTCTTCTAACAATGTCTAACTGCCAACCCTCTCATCCTTGTGAACCTCACTTACCTCTCCATGAGAGGCTTCCAGAGGCCACTGGGGGCTGCTCTCTCAAATCCTGACTTAGGGTGAGGCAGCCACCCCGAAATACAGCTTGCTTTAATTGGACAGCCACAGGCTTGGGGGGTTTTTTTCTCCTCACAAATCTCAGGGTTAACAGAATGGCACAGAAGGGTCCGGGGGAAGGGGCAGTGTTGGGGATCACTGTCCTCCGAGCATGATAAGGCAACTGCCCTCCTGAATCTTTTTTTTTTTTTTTTTTTTTGGTTTTTCGAGACAGGGTTTCTCTGTGTAGCTTTGCGCCTTTCCTGGAACTCACTTGGTAGCCCAGGCTGGCCTCAAACTCACAGAGATCCACCTGGCTCTGCCTCCCAAGTGCTGGGATTAAAGGCGTGTGCCGATGCCGCCGCCACCACCACCGCCCGGCTTTCCGTCCTGAATCTTCCTGTAACTGTGACTAACTAGATCTGCATAAGACTGGGCGCATTAGTGCCTGTCATGGGTGGGGTACTCACGAGGCCCCACTGCTTTCCTGGACATATTGGTAGTGTTTTTGTTAGGGTGTGTATT